GCTGAATCCTGCTGCATTGAAACTCCCTTGCAGCCTAAGGACCTCTGCTGTAGCATGCTGTAGGGCCCCTCAGCTGCATAGCTGGCACACAAGAGGCCAGGACAGCCATCTGGCTGACTGGTACCCATGGTTATCAGGGCAGTGGGTTGCTTTCCAATCCTTGTCATTTTTGCACAGGATGGGAATTAACATAAAAGAAGGAATTACTGTCAGAAGTGACGAAATATTTTGAAAGTACTGCAGGGACCTCTCCTGGCAGTGCAGTGAGTCCTATGCAAAAGAAGTATCTGTCCTGTGAAAGGTTTTAGGCCAGGTCTCCAAGTCTATATATTACCAAGCATGAAAACAGGGACAACACAAATCTTAAATAAAGGCTCTCTTAAATAAGCATCCATCTTCTGCTGCATACACAATGCTTTTTTTCTTTGAATATATACATACATATTTTCCTCTATCATCTGCGTATTTATTTAAACTCTGTACTGTAGTAAAATATGCATCATTTTAATCAATAAGGATTTGCTGGCAACAATCAGATTGACATTCAAACATGGTGGCTGAAAACTTTCATGTGCCTCTGACATACTGATCATTCCCCATGCAGGGGAAGGGGTCTGTGCTACTTTTGTACAGTACAATGAGCTAGTGTATGAAAACAAAATCCCTCTGAATTTTTTCTTGTTCATACTGGTCTTGTCTACTTAAGCTACTTTTTGGGAAGTGGGAGTGGGATAAATATGTCGTTAAAAATTAAGCAGCTGTAACCACAAAAATGAAACCTAATAGAAATCTACAGCATCTGATGTTTACCAAGACCCTAGCTTTGCTCATTTGCTGCTGTCAAATCCAGGAAGGGAGGGTGAGGCAGTGCTGAATGGTGCTGAAGATGATCAGCTTCTACCTTCCTCTGTACCCCACTCTCAGATCAGTTTCACACAGGGAACAGGGAGGGTTAGGATTACGAAGGTGAGAACTGGAATGAGCGAAGGGGACAGCAAGCTGCTCTGATGTCAAATTTGAATGCTGAAGCACTTTATGAGTCCCAACTCACGTGGTCAGAGCTCTCCAGGGAGAGGCTCTTGGTCTTGTGAGGAGAAACTGGGCTGGGAGGGCTGCTGAGGTTGGAGCTGTTCGATGCAGTAGAGTGTCTCGGAGAGTCAGAGTCCTGCAGCGCAAAGACACAAACAGCAGTAAGTAACAAGATAGCACGTTTGAGAATGTCTGAGCAACAGGTGACTGGATTCAAGGTCTCCACGTATTTTGCTTGTTTCCAAAAATACCAATAATTTTTTTTTTTTTCTCAGAATTTCCTGCTTGTGGGAAACTTTAGAGTAAGTGGTCACATCATTGCTTTCAAGAGGCATCACTGAAGCTGACATAAGCACACAGCACCTCTGTGATTCTTGCATTCTGCGTGTTGCTGAGGCCACCAGAGTGTGCAACTTCAGGTTGCTTGTGAAGATAAAATCATTCCTTTCTTTTCAGAGACTATGATCTGAGATCTTCTTGCACTAAACTGAGAAGTCTTTGTGGTATGGGCCTCATCACAGCAACCTCTTCTGTGACATTCCCAGGATATTAACTCAAAGAATCTTATCAAGTTACTTCAGTTGGATTTTCCAGAGTACAGTAGAATGCAGCTATGTCTCAGCTTGAGTCTGGGTTGACAGTTCCCTTCCAGATTCAACTGGAAGAACATATTCAGCAACAGGACAAGCCAGTGTGATTTCTAGTTTTCTCACTTCCTGGTAAGAAAATGGCCTGGGAAATTTTGCTGGCCAACTTCCAATTGAACCCTCCTATGTAAAACATTCTTGATTGGAGGGACTAAGCTTAGCGCTGGGCAGGATTGCAGTCCTACCACAACAATAGTCTTGTTTTGCAAAGAATGTAAATTACTAAATCCAGTTTCTACTCTAAATGAAATCACTATAATTCTTATAAGTACCTTGTTAACTTCAAGCACCCTAAGTACAAAACGTCTCCTGTGAAATGGTTGCTCTATAGCTTAATAGTCTTTATAAATAAAGGGCAGGAGAGTATCACCACTTCAAGCTGTGATTGATAGGTCAATGTCAAGCTTTTACTCTACTGAACCAGTATTTTTGGGAGCCTCACTACCTATGTATCTCCAGGTAAGGAGCACAGAGAGCGTTTCCTGCATGTTAAATACCAAGATGGAAGTTGACAGTCTGACCAAAGCCTTTTGTCAGGATAGCTTGAAATTGCTAGACCAGCAACCTGATCTAGTGGGAGGTGTCCCTACCTATGGCAGGGAGGTTGTAACTAGATGATCTTTAAGGTCCCTTCCAACCCAGGCCATTCTGTGATTCTGTGAAACACAGGAAATCCAAGTCTTCATTGTCAATGACTCCGGAACTTGTAGCCAAACCCATGACAGAATCTTCCTCATCTTTATAAACACAGTATTTTCCCCTTTCTTCTGTGACTCACCTCTCGCTCATAGTCCCTTGTTGGTGCTTGACTGCCTTGGTCCAGGCCACCAGAGGATAAGGAACCATCTGAGGGTGATGCCATAGGCTGATGCTTTGCTCCATAGCTACCTCCTGAGAATTCCCTCCGCAAAGCACTGCCGTTTTGCGCAGATCCTAAAACGTGGGGGAATTAAACTGTGTTACAGATGCACAACTCAAAGTTCTAGAAATTTGTTAGCTGTTTCTCTGGTTAGTTCTGCTTTCGTCCAGCATGTCCCAAGATCATGGCTTGCAGGTTGTGGGAGCTTTCTTGTCTGCTGCCAGGTGTAGTTTTTCCTAGGGATTCTCTGGTCCCTCCCTTGGCACATCATATTAGTACACTTCACCCAGCACAGACAATCACTCTGTTCCTGACAAAGACAACAGTTGCAGAAATTCAGCCTGTTGCCACAGGAAGGATAAAACCTAGAAGAGTTGGGACACCACTCTTGTCTCTGTTTTCACATGGCCCATTCTTCAGTCACTTGCTTGGTCTCAGCACAGGTCACTGTGCTGGCCCTGGCACACAAAGGCAACACTAGGAGGGGTGTTTCCAATGCAGTGCAACTCTTCCATATGAGCAGCCAGTGTTCTATTGCTTTCTCTTTACACTAGCAGCAAGAGAAGCATCAAGAGCTCTACACAGTTGAGCAACAACATTCTGAACCATGGAGCTTGTGAACAACTTGCCATTGATTTTGAAAGACTTAAGCAGCAGCAAAGCAGTCCCAAATGTTAGAATGTAATTTTAATTCTAATGTCAGTTTAAAAAATACGACAAATAAAAAATGTGTCACTATCAAAAGTGCTAGCTGCTTCATGTGTTCCTTTGAAAGCAAGATTAAAATATTGTCCTCAATGGGAATAGAGTCAGCCATCACTTTGGAAAATCCCTTCTAGCAGCAGTATGGATAGAAGCAAACACAGGTAGTAATTTCCCTAATATAATTGTGCATAGACCAAAAGCAACCTAGTTCTGTTTGCTTACGTGCTGCTAACCCGCTGCTTGCGCTCATTGATCGTCCTGGTTCTGTGCGGGATTTTGTGATTGATGGGATACTGACAGAGCCACTGAATACGGTCCGACTTTCCTGAGGCCGAAGATTCTGCAATGTAGACACACACAATGACATGTTTACTTATTGACTGCTGGCTCAACCTTGAATGTTATGAAGGAAGGCCCCAAAATACATTAAAACCCCAACCTCACCAGAGCTGAATTATCTGGGCAGCAAGTCAGCAAAAATTACAAAATATTCTGCAGTTCAGTGCAGAGACTGGAAGCACACGCAACGCAACAGTGAAGTGCTGAATTACATGGACATATGCAGACAACTGGAAGAGTATGCCTAATAATTCAAGGATTTCCTTGAAAGGATATTTTGAAAGCCTAATTAAGATGCTATAGATACATTCAAGTTATATCACACAATGCATTCTTTCTGAACACAAGCTTTGAAGTACGTTATTAAAATTTCCTTCTTTGATGCCATCATTTGTGCCATGCATGTGTAATTTTATACAATAACCAGGTTAAGCCCTAATGCCTGCAGAGTTATGAACATATAGTGGATCAATCTGTATTTCAATTACTTAGGTAATTCCAAGGGTATCAACAGCATTACTCCAGACCTACACCAGTTGAGCCAAAGTGAGAAATCAGCCTGCTTGAAGTGACTGACCAGAGCACATGCCACTGTTTTTCTAAATATTTTGATTATCACTCCTCTTTCACATCCAGACAGTTCCAATGTCATTTTCTAAATTGGTTAAATTACTAGACTGAACTGGTCCTTCACTGAGGGAAGAGATAAACCACAATTTCTCTACGTGGATATGGTAGTTTCTTAAACATGAAGTGTCACTAAAAGAAGGGAAAAGAGTACTTTGAAGTGAGTTCTGAGATATTTTGGTTTTGCTGCTGTTAACTTACAGCTGACCTTAGGGGAAAAGGTTTCTCAGCTTATTTAGCTCATCTCTTCCTGTATATGAGCTAGCTTCTTAGCTCAGAGGGACTTTCTAATACCCACATATGTCAATCTCTGGGTAAATATGAGTCTTCATCCTGCTCGTATTTGCAATATTTGCACTATTAAGTAATTAGCATTAACTGGAACTAGGTTTAGGGAATCTTTACACATGCAGAATGTGAAACAAACTGCAGGTAGCTCTGTGCATAACTTTATTTCCATTTTACAAAACACTCCCTACAATAACTGTTAATTTCTTCCTATTTTTATTTATTTATTTCTCCACCCTCACTCTGTGATAAAGTAGGCACACATAAAACAACAGTTGCAACTGCAATGTCTTTTTAAGCTAGGATGTTATGGAAATTTAGACCAGAACAAAGATTCCATCCCCCACAAGAGTATTCTCAGAGACCTTCAGATACTACCAATTTCTGCATCTGAATTTTAAAATGGTAATTAGAGGCTTTTTAATTAACAAATCTTATACAGTTCAGACTTCATCAGATAATTGTTACCAACCTGCTGTCAATCCAGTCTCACAGTGATCCTTAGAGTCATTGCTATAACAGACCCTTTTGCTCTTAAAGTCAACCCTTTGCTTCTCATTCTCCCAGTGGGCTAGAAATGGCTGATTTTTAACATGCAACAAAAAAGGAAGAATTAAAATTTCTCCTGTTCCCAGGTCTTTCTCAAACACCAAAAAAAACGATAATCAGAGAACATAGGAATGAAAAAGTCCTGTTTAATTCTCCCCTCATCCACTGCGACACTATTATCAATGAGAATTTATACCAAAAGTCTTTTAAATATTTTGTAGAATAATACTGTTGTCTCTTTGCTTATCTTTCCCCTTCCCCCCCCCCCCCCCCTTTTTTTTTTTTCCTTTTTTTGCCCCCCCCCCCCCCCCCCCCTTTTTTTTTTCAATATGAACCAAGTAGCGCAAAATATTTATGCTCCTTGTCCTTCACCATGCAATAACAATCCGCGTTACAGATAAAAGAGCACCCTGGAGGCTCTCCTGACAACGCAAAAAGGAATGAATGGGCTAAGGAATAAGTTACTACTGTGTTTTGAGAAACTAAAGAAAGCCAAGTGCAGCATCACAGAAACGTGTGCACTGAGGTTAGTTTACTGGAGTTGCAAGGAAGGTCTGTACTTTTATAAACCTACAATTGTTAATTTTGCAAAGAGATCAATTATGCTTAATGATAAGGTGATTAACCTTCTTAACAGTGACTGAGTAGACAATATACAGGCATCAGGGGCAGGAAGGAATAGGTGGTTGGTGTGTGAAAGAGTAATTTATCTTAATAGTGTATTCTAATAATGATTATTTTTCATTACTTTAGTTTGCAACGTCCATGTAATTCCTCATACAAAGTTTCTCCACAAAGCAAACCTTTCATTGTTTTTTGTTTCAAAAAATAAAACCCTGGAACTAATATGCACATGATGTAGAAAGGGGATTGAAAAAAAAATAAATGGTGGTTATTAGCACTTGTTATAAAGCAGCAAAATGAAGCAAGTTAAAAACAAAGGGGGAAAAAAAGAAACCTGAGCTTGCTTTACTTAAAAAGACAAAAAACCCCTCAGTTAGAGCAACAATTCAAGTCCTAGGAGGAAAACTCATTCCTACAGCTGAACCACATGGAGAAAGGTGAAAGAAAAAAAAAGCATCAGAAAAGCTGCTTGTTGAGCAGTTAACCACTCTGAGATAGGGTGAAAGACCCAAATTAGTTCAGTGCATCCCATTTTCAGCCAGAGAACAGCTGCTGTGGAGCTGTGGGTTATGGATGTGCATATGGATGATACCTGAGACCATGATCCCCTTGCAGTGAGTGCTGTTGTTCTTACACTAAAATCTCCAAACACAGAGGAGGGACAGGCCCCAAATCAAAACACACTGCCTTGCTTTCTCTATAGATTACAGTACCTCTACCCTCAAACCACAACAGAGACAAACACTTTTCTTCACACAAGACTAAACCTCTAGTGCTCTCAGAAGCTAACAGGTACAAGATCTTGACATACCAGGTTGCTCACTTCACTTTTTTCCCTCCAATTTATGCTAGTAGGCTGCAACTTTTGGACGAAAGATGCTCCTAAAGCAAAAATTAAGAGTTACTGTCTGCAATACTAGGGGTCATTCCTTATTGATCCCAGGGAAACTACTCACATAAGAAAGATAAGGTAGAGGGTGGGTCACAGTCCAGTAATACATCACTGCATATTACACACAAAAATTTTGATAGTACAGTTGGATTAAAGAAGCCCTGTTAAAACCAGATCTGAAACACAGCTTCAGTGACCCTATATAATGCCCCCCTAAGAAAGAAACAAATTTCAACAATACTGGGTTTTTTTGCATTTCAATAAAGCATTACTTTTGTGTATGTACATCTCTCCTCCTACCAGAAAAGCCAGAATGGATGCAGACCTGTCATCACAGGGCATGTTTTCCAAAACACTGCAACCTCATTTTTTAATATTAATGTTTATGACAATTGAGACTTCACAACAGTGACACATAACCAGGCACATGACCAGTCAAGGCTTAGCTGCACTGATTTGTTTTGGAGCCACAGGGAATAGATTAATTTTCCCCCTGCATCTTCAAATTATCTCTACTGTTGTATGCAGGTACTTATCCAAAAACCTTCCTAGTGACAGGGATCTAAAATAGCAACCAAAAGGCACTCAAAGCAGTCTGGAAGTGAAGGTTTGCCACACATGTCTGAAGGGTGTCCAAAGGCCACAGAAACTAACAGCAGTGTTTCCATTACAGCAACAGACATGGCTCAGACCCATAAAAACCCTGAGCAACCAACCACCATCTATTTCTGATTTATCTGTGAATCTGTCCCAAGTAGAACTGCAGGCCACAGCACAATGCACAACTAAGTGACAGCATTAATACTCAGGCAGATGAGATCTGCACAGAAGTTAGTATAGCTTGTATTTCTATAGGACCTAGGTCCCCACGTAGTCAGATCATGTTGCACAGTACAAGAAAAAATAAGATCACTTCCATCCCCCCCTGTTTCCATTCCAACTGGAAGGATATTTACAGAACAGCATCTTACCTCAGCCTCTGCATAAAACTACAAATTGCCACTATCTTTAGCTTTTTATCTTGCTTGTACAAGTTCTAACTTCACTTACTTAAGCTAGAAGCTGTCCGAAGCACAACCTGTTGTGTTTCTCTCTCTCAATCTGTGTACAATACTGTGTAAAAATTCTTGCACTCCACACGATTTCATCATAAAGAAACACTTTGAAAGTTTGGTCCAACACAGACAGATCCAGAATATCTTCTTAATGCAACCTGATAGACAGTTTCCTGCTACTGACTGCAGAGGAGGAACACTAAGAAACAGAGAACTTTTCATTCAAAATTCCCACATCCTTTCTGGTGATTAAAAATGCTATTCTCACAGCAAAAAGTTCAGCCCAGTTGTTATACACTATCTTGGTGTTGTGTTTTTTTTTTAAAGCCATTAAGTATCTGTTTCTTGGCATGTCAGAGCTTTGAAAGATCACAGCTGATAGCAGAAAATAAATCAGCTGTGACAGAAGAAATCTAGGAGGTGAAGGAAACCACTTACAAGGGTTTTTCTCCCATGTTAATAGCCAGGCAAAAGAAAAACCACACAGTGTTAGTAGAGTGTACACCTGACTCAGCCGTCCATACCCTCAGAGTCATAAAGTCTGGAGTACCGAGGACAGAGCGTGGAGGCGGGGAAAATGCGGGGTTTATGGAATCGTAAGAGAGGAATTTTTCAGCTGAATTAACAGTCATGTGGTAGATGTGCTCAAAGTTGCTCGGAGAAGAGATCAGACGGGAGTGATGATGAGGGAATTGATAAGGGGAATGCTGCTATCAAAGACAACAGAGAGAGAAAGCAATGAAGGATGGTTGTACAGGTTACATTGGCAGCAGCAGTCCGCAAAAGCAGTCAAACACTGAAGGACAGCCAAACAGCAACCCTGCTTGCCCATCAACACACGGGTTCTTACATTGTCACCCCCAGTCCTCTGAGCACCTTCTTTACATGGTGTCATATGGGCCTGCTGCCCTTGCTGTTGCTAAAACATTAAAAACAAAGAAAACTTTTAACTCATTGGAAATAAGATTCTAATATTTATTATTATTTGATATTTCAAAGAGCACCTCAGTTGTAAAAGGTGCTTTACAGACAGTTGAGAAGCATCAGTTCCCTGCCTTGAGAAGCTTACAATCTAAAATAGACATAAACAAACGAAGGTGAACATGGATGAGATGGTATGGGGAGAAGAAAAGATGAGAATATACAACAGTTAAAGATTCTGAGAGTTTTCCTTCTGTTACTCATGCATTTTAGCAATTCCATTAAGTATCACCCGTAAAACACAGAGTACTTTAACTGGAGTGAACACCATTTCGACAGGATGGGGACACAAGTTGAGTGGGAGGGTGAACTGGTTAGTGTCAGACAACTGAGACAATTTACTCTGCTGTAGACAGATGACACAAGGCCTATGTCCTTCTGCACACTGACTGAAGCCTTACAGCGCTTTTGTGATGAACAGACTTTGCACTGCTGTTTCTGAGCTGTAGAATACTAGACCCTTAGCAGGTAAGGTGCAAACGTATTGGGAAATCCACGTTTCTCATAGGTCAACTGAGCAACGTGCTCCCGAAGTGTGACATAAAAAAAGAGAGGGGAGAAATAATCCTGCACATTAAACAGAAACAATTTCTAATTCACTGCTACAGAATGTGCTGATTTAAGTGTTTTTGTAATTTAAAGTCATCAAGGCTCAGTCTCCCTTCCTGAGCTACATGTTCAGCATGTCAGCCTGCAAGGGAATGGTCTGCCCAATTGGCCACCAACAATTCAGAACCCCTTTTCTGATTTTCAACTCCCAACTTTTCTCTCCTTGTCCAACTGATTTAATCACCTTAAACAAACAGATCTGAGTAACATCAGAAATGCTAGGACTTAAAAAAATAAAATATGGTAAAAATACAGCTTACCCCTCTGCTAAACCTAAGGCACTACTCTTTGTATGTGGAACGTATTAAAGTCCGGAAAAACATTAAAAAACATCCCAATACATATTATCAAACATTACTCTTATCTTAATTTTAGCTTTTAAAATCCAACTCTTTTTTTTTAAACACAAAGTTATTATGAGGCTTTGCATGTTAACTAATGACATGTTAACCATCAATTACAGCATTATGGCATATAAGACAGAAGATATATTAAATCATTATTAGTAAGTTTAGCAGCATCTAAATATCAGTATGAGAAGCCACCATTCCAAAATAGCCCAGGAAAGCAGACCTTTGCTGAGTTATCTGCTCACAACAAAGAACTGGCAGCAAAGCCATCTATGTTCCTAAAAGCCAATAAAGGAGAAAAGGGAGTGTCTAAAATCACAAGCTAAAAAGCGGAGGGCAGGCCAACTGTAGATCATGAAAATATTTAGCCAGTATTCATGAAAATGAGAAAGCCACAATACGGCAACATTTTAAAAAAATCCTCCATGGAACTTTGTCCATGGATTCCACCATTAGAAGCATGCATGGAGTTCCCACTTTCTTTAAAGAATACGAAAAATGGGTAAGTATCCGTTTACACAAAAAGTTTCTCATTTGAAACAAGCAAAGGTTCACACATCATCTAGAACGGAAATATAATGGCTCATGTATAATGAGGTCAAACTGAAGCATGACGTTCAAATATAATGGAAGTCAAGACTAGCTTTGTATGCAAAATACTTAGGCATGCAGAATATAAAACCAAAATCAATCCTGTATATCTGATGTACACAGAGATGTGGTTTGTGCTGCAGTAAGTGCAGTTCCAGATTTCAGATCTTCACTACTAAGGAGCATCCATGATAAAGTGGCTTCAAAGGACAAGAGGGCAGAAAGGAGGCCAGACTGTATGGCCAGTTAATTGGTGACAGGCTGCTAGAGAAGAAAAACATGTAAACAAATAAGTTTGGGGATATACTAACAGGAATGATTTTAAATTGTACAAAACAAGGCAATGGTCCAGATCTAGTATCCACACCAATAAAACACAAAAATGTACTGATTACAGGTCTGTTAATAGCAAACAAGAACCTCTCGTTTGTGTTGTGTTGTAGCCTGCAAACTTGCTTGTCAAAGCCAGCCCCCTGAGTAACTGCTCACCATAGAGAAATGAAGGATGCAAATTTACACTTGCCTGATAACCTCTAATATTTTCTCTCTTAAATCTGATGTCACTCGGAGACTTGGGCAATGTTTGTTGCTGCACAAACATTGGACTATACTCAAGTCAAGGGTATTCAGTCATGGAAAGAACACAGAAGGACTAGGTTAACAGACTGCTGTTTGCCATAAACATATCTCACTGTTTGTATCATCTGCCTATTGCACACCAAAACCTTGGGAACAATGCACAGAGAAAGCATCTTTCCCCCTTGCACGGCTGCATCAGCAAAGGCCATCACATGCAGACAGCTATGTTGCACATATGTAAGCATCCAATACAACATGATAAATTGTCTGAAAGAGCTTTAAAACATTCAATTAATCAAGTTTTCATTTTTTTTTACATTTACAATACAAATTCAATGTTCTATATTTGCTCTTTTAAAAGACAGCATTAAGAACAGCAGTGGGCAGAGAGTGAGCAAGCTCCTGTTGGCTCTGCATCCACCAATTACGCCAATGGCAGCAGAAGTCTGTGTCCCCTCCTGCCCACCAACATATTGCATCTCGGCCCCATAAGGGCTATTGCTACCCGTTCTAACTCTGCACTTCATTCAGTTTTTGACATATTCTCTGAAAAAGGAAGCAGAGATGAGAATTTTTATCAGTAGATTCAGCCAAATTTGAAATTGCTCAAGTAAGTCAGAAGAAATTGCAAATTAAAAGGCTCACTCCATTCTTTCATACTATTTGCATTCCAGTATCTCATAAAAAAGAAGATATACCACTAAAATAGATGGATGAAAAGATTTTGAGAAAACTATTAACCTTGCACTATTTGTTCCCCCCTACTGGCCACCCTCTTTCATTGCAAAAGTATATTCTATCACTTTCATAAACTGAAAAAGGCACTCACCAAGTAAAATATTGCAATCTTTTCCATAGTTCTTTAAAGACAAGTACTTTTTCTTCTGAAGCATACTAATTATTTAAAAATACAAAGATATTCCAGATGCAAAACTGTCACACATGATAAGAAGCACACACACACACATAAAATACATTAATGTTTTTGAATCAAGGTATGAATATAGTGAAATAATTCCATGGCCTTACAAGGAAACCACCATATATATGAACTGTACAGTGTAGGATGAATATTCTTTACCTCATGTACTGATTGTCCAGGTGATGTCCTCTCTATTTCCATCCTCTTTTTTAATTCTAAGTTTATCTTTCAAATAAAACATTTTACTCAATACATAACATCACACGCATGCAGAACAAATTCTTTTCTTTGATTTTTGTGCCTGAGAAACAAAGTAGGTAGCTTGGAACAGACTAAATGAAAACTTAGACCAGACAAATACCTGCCTGGACCAAAGTAGCTCTTGACAGAACATTTATTTCCTAATCTCAAATTCTACTTTCAAATTCACACACTTTCAATTCCCATGATTGATGCAATTGTGTATTTGTTAAGTTAGGAATACAAATATCATGTGATATTGCAAGGAGCTGCTGGGAGAAAAACATGTCAAATTTGCTTTACCTGCAGTGACATCTCCCAGTATTGAGATAAACTTGCAAGAAAGAGGTTTTGATAGTAACTTTAAAAAGAAGCTGCAGCAGTAGACAAAGTGCACAAACCAATTCTATATTGTACACATTTTCTAATGTCTTCTCATCACACTGAAGTGTGGAAAGTGACTTATTAATTTCTTTCAAAACATCATATTGATTGGTAAGAAGCAAAGTACCAGCCTTAACTTCAAATATGATGTTTGAGCTGATACAAAGTTTGTGTAATCAGAACGAATTTAAAGCTAAAAGCCACTCAGAGAGAACATAGGTGAAGAAATATTAACTCATGTAAGTTTAGAAAATTCCCTTCTATAGATGAAATTATGATTCAGGACTTGATTAAGAGTCCTTGTAGTTTTAGACTCTCATGAGCTTTCAACCACTGATGGTATGATTTAGGCTTTTGCCCTGCCTTTAGCTGTAGGAGACTATTTTATCTGCTTGAGAAGAGCCAGGAATATTTTGAAGAACCCACAAGAAATGGAAAAGTGAAAATAGTTCCAATCTACATCCACCTCTGAAGCAAATAATCATTCTTTGTTTAACATTAGACACATCTATACTCAAATGCAGGTAAGACAACCACTACCTGCCAACTTCCCTTGGATTTGTCACGTGTCTTCTAGAACCAGCTTCTTCATTATTTCTTCATTTTTAAACACACATATAATGTTGTTTGTTGCTCTGAATACATTTGCTATTGAGAGTTTTCTCAAAGTGTCTCTAGTATGAAACTTAAAGTAAATCCTTTTCTTTCTTTCCATATTCTCATCTAAGGAAGACAGTGTCAGGAGGGCTCATGTACAATGTGCAGGTGTTACAGTGAAGTGTAACTGAAAAGTATCATTTTCTATAAAAATGAGGTAAAATGAGTATGGAGACCAGAGGTTATGCTCTAAGCTCCTAAACTAGAGTAATTGCATGGCATACTTTATTTTTCCAGTCTTACTGTTGTTTCCTTTAGACTTTTCAGAAATTGAAAATCTCTATTTCAGCATCTGTTTTCTGCACTAACTCCAAGTAATAACAATGATCACTTTTGACAGCATTTCTGTGCTAATGCCTGTATCTTATGGTGGTACTTATATAATCTGTTTGATATCATATAATTTGATCTTCCTTACAGTGCTATTTAGCATCTTCTGAATCACATCTGTGTCATCGTGCATGAATTAGAAAACAATACAGGACACATGAATAAGATGCTCAAGGTAGCTTGAAGCAACCAGTATGATACTCTCCTATGAACAAAATATTTGTTGGTCTTGAGCTCATAAAAAAATTCAGTAACTTCGAGGTAAGTATTTCTCATATAAGGTTTTGTGGAAATGAACATATGTGTCTATATTTAGTGTTATATTTTTCAATTTTTCAACTTAAAAGGTTAGTTTTTATGCAAGAAGTTCTGCTTCATTGAGACTAGTTAATTTGGAGAGAAAATTAGAAACAGTATTTTTGGCATGGAAATTTGGGCACTACAGTGTTAAACTGCTACAGTTCCACTACCTAAGGAAAAGAGGCTGCAAAAACAGAGGCTAAGTTGGAGCTGAAGATAGGAAGAGAAAACAGGAATCAAACTACAGTTCCTGGAGAAAGGAATTTCCTTTCCATTCCCACAAAGAACACAGGCCCAAACCTTCTTCATTTTGTCCCTTCATTTGGGTCATAAAAATCATCATCAACACTGAGAGGTCAACCTCTCATCAAAAGCAGGAGGCATTAGCTACTAGTACTCCCCTCGATGCTTAAGTGTTGTCCTCTTTAAGTTTTACCACATAGAGAAGAGCGTGTTCATCTCCATTTCCCTAGTTACCATGCTCCTGATATTAAATACATCAACACTCTGAATATGCATTTAAAATCGTATTTGTCCTTCTCGCATTTATTTGCAGCCTCTGCTGCTGTCAGTCACCCTAACATGTACTTTTGTACTTACCATTGGAAGGTCTTTGAGAATCTGTATACCATCTCCTGGGCCCATATGTGCTATGTGGTTAAAATTAGTTGGGTTAGAAATTAATTTATTTCTCATTTCTGGATCGCGTAGCATCTCCCTGGAAGAGAAAATACTTTGTTTAGAAGTCTGTTTGAGGTGAAGATAGACTTTCATAAAACACGTATAGTTTTGATTATCGACTACTTTTAAATGGAAATTGACTATTTAAACATGTTAACAGTGACACCCTTGCTATCAGAACTGGCATGGACAAGCTTCCAGCCTGAAGAGAGGGCGAGGGACCAGAACAAAAGAATGCTGTTTGCAGGCTAACAGCCCACACCCAGTGGTATTAACATTCAAAGAATATACAGCCATTATGAGCTGATAAGGAAATATGTAAGATGAGAAAAAGCAGAACTTATTTGTGATGTATTACAAAGTGTAGATGAAAATTAAGTACAAAATATAAAAACAGAATTAAAATAATACTGCAGTACCTTTCTCAGTCTGTGGTCAGAATTAAAAGTTCTTAAAAATGGCAAGGATACATTTCAGAACCCAGAATAAATCAAACCATACAAGGCCAAACTGTGATCAGCTCAGAAAAAGCAAGAGCTGGAATTTTATCTCCACTGTACACAGCTGCTACTTTTCTTAGATTCAAAAATAAAGGAATGCTGGAAGCCAGCCACTGGTGGAAGACATTGGAAGTTAGAACAAAAAATACTCAGTTCTTGGAGTGCAGCTTAGCACACCAGGAGGTCAATTCTGGACTGATAGTAAGTGGTCAGTACCATCGTCTATGAACACTGCGAGTGGTGTGAACCTATTTTTATTGCCATTTAGGAAAGTATTTGTGACTTGTTCAAGACTTTTATTAGAAACACATCCTGAAGATGTGTGTCGTCTAAAGATGAGAGTTTTCTGATATTTACATAATATTTATGTAGCTAAATCTATAAATCAAAAAAGCATATGCCTTGGAATACTGCTGAGAGCAGAACTGCCTTCAGAAAGAAAAGCAAAACCAGAGTCTGAAAGTAATTAATCCATATGCATACTAATATAATCTCCTTTTGCAAAGTGTTTATTACAGATCTTTATATAGCATATATACACACACCCGTGTATCTATATACAGTATGTAGAGACATGCATTCCAAATTACAGCTGTTTCATGTAACTAATTTGAACTAATGAATACTTACTTATCCAGGCCATAACCATACCTAAACTGGTATTATCACAAATTAAGGATTAAGGTGGTAGTGAAGAGAGAGAAACATCTGAATGGGCACTCCATTAAGCAAAAGATTGGCAGCAGTCACTGACCTTCAGGGTCTATGTGTTATGTACAGAAGGCAAGTATAATTGAATACGAACCTCCTCTGCTGCATCCTCTCCTCCTCTGGTACTCTGAATGAATAGCGACGCTTGTTGTTGATGTTTCGAACCATTTGCTTCCGGCTGTTATCTGATGTCTCAGGAACTACCAGTTCATCACCCTCTGAAATCAAGATAAATATAATGATCCAGTAGGACACTTCATTAGGTATTAATGGAATTTGAATTCAAATACATTTTCTCCCTCTGTTCTTTCTGTTGGCATTACCCACCAAATCTGAACAAATACTCCTTGATTTATGGGTTTTCTTGGTCACTGTCTACTCAGTTATACAGCAACAGACTTAACCTTTCTGTATGAACACAAGCTGCAACAACTAAATTCTCAAAATACCTCTCTCAATTAAGTCTTTCAAACAAACACTTAGGTGGGCAGGAAAGGATCTCCTCTTTTTCAAACTTTCTTTGACAGTTTTCACTGAAAAATCACTAGAACAGTTGTGTTCTGCCAATTGTCTGGAAACTCAGTGAAAGATTCTTTTTCATTCATTCATTCCCTGCTCCTAAGAGATTACTCCTTTTGAAATGGTTAAGGCTGATGTACTTTGGTGCAACAGTGGGAAAAGGGAAGATATATTCCACATGTGTAGGTCTGACCAAGGCATCTTTAATAAAGACATGAAATGTATAGCAGTGTTAATGGGAGCACTACTTTGAATGAAGGGTGCAACTGCTCTGTTTTTGGTTTTTATGTATGGAGACTAAGTTACACTTAATAAGCCTGAACCTACACCAAAGCCAACTGCTCACTGTTAAAACAGCTTTTGTATGGAACTGAAATCTCTTCTTTCCTTAAAATCAACTTGAGATTTGATGAAGTGTGGGATCAACTATGTAAGTGCCATCAGGAAAAAAACTTGCAGTCTTTTAAGGAGACAGAACCAGAGGATACATTACCATTTGGCAAGCTTTTCTGAAAGTCAGTGAGAAGTGCACAGGAGCAAAGCATCAGACTTACTTCTGATCCTATGTTTTCCAGTGTGGTTTTTTTCCCCCTCTTCTGCTTTATTTTAAATGTTCAATCATTACTAGATGTGAAAAATCTTTATACTTATGTCCACTATATCGCTTCTCTCTACCACTGCCATTCCTTTTGTACTAATTTGCTAGCAATTTAAATAAACACTGAAACACTGTCAAAAGCAGTATATGTTTCTAGACTGTTTCTTTCGACTGTTTTGAGAAGAGTTGTTTAAAAAATTTACTTTTTTATTGTTAAAACAAAGCACATCCCAGAGGCCAAACAAAAGGTTAAGGAAATTACCTGGAACTATGCTTATGCAATGGGCTCTAGAAAGAAAAAAAAAGGCCAAAAATACTCAAAACAAAAATTGAATTCTGAAGCTAAAACTCTGGCACACAAATACATGTGGCCCTAATAACAAGTTATGAATAAATAATACTATCTTACTTCTTGATCCTTGGAAAATATTTGTTTAGGTTAAGTATAATATTAATTTTAATCTAATACTGCCAAGATAACTACTAAAATCTTTAATCTGCAGGCATCTTCAGATAGCAATCTGGCACGTGATGCCAGATTTGGAGGGAGCGTCTAGTAATTCTATTTTCTATTGCCAGTCTTCATTGAAGTCTTCATTGACTATTCAAAAGGGAAAAAAGTTCAGAGTAGCTGCCTAGCAGATATCACTGCAATCACTGTGGAATCTGTGATTTTTGGCTTTCTCCCAATTTATCAAGCACACATATGTTTGAGTGATCACTTTCTACAATGCACAGATCCAGTTAAAATAAAAACGCTCTTTCTAAACAAAAATTTGCATTATGAAAATTGGCTTCTCTTTACTTACCTGCCATTTTGTTTTTGAAATATATTAATCTAACTGTTTCCAGGCCTAAAAGGTTTAGTGATCCTTCTGTATTCAAGGGTCGTACCTGAAAAAAGGTAAGTCAGTCCTTGTAATAGCAGTAAATCACATTTATATAGTGCATCTTATTTTGAAAGCTCCAAGTTGCCCCATCTCTATAAAAGGAGCACTGTTATCAAGCCAACCAGGGAGCAGAACAGCGTAACTGGCCAGAGCAAAGCCTGCTCCATGGAAGAACTGCAGGCTGGAGAGAGCAGTGTTTCCTATCTTCCATTACACGTGCCTACTCTCAAGAGTAACAATTGAGAGTCATTAAAGTTATAAAGCAGAGTTTAAAACAATTTTGGACTTTAAACTTCAGTTTGGAGAATGAGTACAGAGGCAGTTGGGTAAAATTCCACTGGAAGACACAGGGTAAACACCATTCATCTCAGCATTTAAATAGTTCTGTCAGATGTATCCTTCATATAACAATTCCATTTTGTCTATTAGATACACAAAGCACTAAGTGGTGCTTTACTTTGTGTTACTATCTTGTCTCTATTTTGCTCTGCAACTTGGTAAGAGTATATACAGATTGCTAAAATCTACTGGTATTTGTGACTGCCAACTTTAAAATGAAAGAAGTATTACACTCTCAAAGTCTGCAAATTGTGCTGGAAACAAACTCTTCATAATAAATTGCCATTTTTGAGATGTAGTAATTTTTGTTTGTTGAAAGTAGCTTCATTCATTAAATGGGCAGCCTGGAGCCAAATATTAATCTAAGTACTAAAGCACATTCTGCTGTGCAAGAAAAAAAATGTTCTGACTGCTTAATAACTTGAAGTTTGGACATCAGAAAGAGTAGAGTAAATTTCCTCTAAAAGGCTACACTCTTCTTCTCTCCTTAACATGGCTAATATCTGAGCACCTTGATCTCGACATTATTTATCCTTAGAGCATTGCCATAATATCCTGGTCTGCATCTGACATGTGGCAAAATTGATAAGCAGAGAGACTGAATGCCTAATGCAATACCACAAGGACAACTTCTTGTAGTTCTATGTCAGTGGAATGCCAGTTAAAGGAATTATGTTGACACTAATACAAAGTTGAAATCAGTCTAAACTATGTGGAAAAAAAACCTTATCTTTTTTCTTTCAAAATACAGCTGATCAAACACCTACTAAATATCAAGGAAGTTTCAGTTTTTGAAAACTTCTTCCTTTCGATATGTGATCCAAACCTGACATCATCCTGGTTTTAATATTTGTACTGGTTGAAAAGTCATAATGCTCTAATCCTATCCATCTACGTGTTCTGAAGCAGAGGAAGATAGATTTTTGAAGGCCTATTTAATTATCTTAACATCCACCATCTTCTGCCAATAATATAGATGAAATCAATTGAAATTAAACCAAATGTAATTAATACCAAGAAACTGGTCTCTACGATACTATCAACAAGTCTACATACTCATATGCTCTAGGTCTAAAACAGTGAAACTACATACAAAACACATTATTTTTCATTTCACATTTTTATTTATTTCAAACAAAAGGACTGGATTCTTTGCAGCAGCTCTACTTCTAGTTTAATTATGTTTAAATAAGCAGTTTTATCCTAATGTGCATAAAAGCCTGGTATGACTAAAAAAGCAACACTGAGTCTAGACATACCTAAAGAGAAAGTTACCTTTTTGAGAGGAATAGATTGAATCCACTCCATGGAGTTCACATCAAAGATGTCAATAGCATTTTCACTGTACACAGAGAGGTATGGTGCATTGTAACCTGAGAGGGACGGATTAGGTATAGTGTCAAGTGTTTTTAGATAGGGCTCAAAAATATACAATTTCTTATGTTCAACCATATTTATTTAAAAAAAGCAAACCCACCCCACAATGCAACAACAATCTTCGCAAAACGTATTTTAACTCAACAGTGACAAAGAAACTTATTCTGAAGGCAAACTGCGTCACAATCCCTGAAGCCTTTGTGACTTTTGTTCACAGAATTAAACCTTTTTGAACTACAAGGGATTACAGTTTGTTCTGCCAAACATTGATGTGATTCAGAGGTTTTTTTAATCTAAAAGCCCTACTTTCAAGAGCCTGTATTGTAAATTATGTGGTAGGGAAGACATTGTTATTTAATAACTGTCATTTGAATAAACTGAGCTCGTAGTCTTTGGAGTATGTACTAATGAACACCAGTTAGATATAAACATCACAACACAGTGAAAAATCTTCATGCTTTCTTCTAGCTTTAATTCTGCTTTCTTATTTTCTGGATTGTAAAGAGAATTACTGTGCTACTCATCTGGTACATTTCCCCAGGATGTAATTTGTTCCACTGAGACCACTCTTAAAGGAGAATTCAGTATTTCCATGTTGGCCACAAGACTGCCATAGTCTGCCAAAACTAACAAGAGCATCCAATTTGTGTTTAAATGTAACAGTTTTTGCTATAAAATATACCTTCATTCTGAACTGAAATAACATCAAGTCACTTCATTCAAGACAAAAAAAAAACCTTTCACAAATATCAATGTGAAATTACCTATTTTTCAAACTATCACAAAATCTATTATTTTGATTCATTCATTCTCTGAGTCCACTGTAATAATCACACTCATTTGGAAACCAGAAGTGACACACAGCCTGTAAAAGCTGCTCCTCCAACATACAGAACGGGCTTCACTAAAACAAGGCGAAACATTCCTATCCTCCGCAGTGTGACTGTACTGCTGTCACAGTGAGGTAAGAAGGCAGACTACATTAAAAAACATAGGACTGGGTTAATTGAGGGACTGGGATAATCTGAGGACAAATTTAGCTAATCTTCATCTGCATACAGAAAGACACTAAAGAGGAACTAGTGACTGCAGGCTTTTATCCTCTCTAACTGTCACAAACATAAAGCCCCAGCTCTGAAAAAAAGTGCAATAAATGTTTATCACAGTTCTTGCTAGCCATGGGAATCTCTAAAAATTACAGTATTTTCCCATGAGGCTTATGAAATGTATTTTCTGTATTACTTGCCATACATTGTATTTTGGAAGTGAAGAGGGAGATAGAAGGGGAGGGAAACTTAAAAACTGATGTTTTAGAAAAGACAGGAGATGAGTGAGCAGAGTGCAAACAAAAACTGCAGAGGAAGAGAGAATGACGGAGTAAAGAAAAGAAAAAAATAAACAAAAAAAAAGCAGTACATAGGAATAAACACTATTACAGAAAAGCAAACCAAAGTGCCAGATACTGATGACTCTGAATATCAAAAAAAGGTTGAATCACCATGCTAAGCCAAAGAGCAATTAAATTTTAAGACGCTAAATAACAACTGTCCAGTATCAATGACAGCAAAAGTATAAAGATCCCATTAGCTTCTGCAGCACCTGGGGCTTTCGGCTGTGTTAGAGATCAGGCCTTGTGTTCGGAAATTGAACATGAGAATTAGAAATCCTCTTTGAGTGATTCCTCTTTGTGCTACAGCAGTACAGGTAAGTGACAGAGCTGCAAAAACTAGCATAAAAATGATCAAGATTAAACCCTCTGACTAGATTTAAAATGTGACAGAAGCTGAGAGCATTCATTTACCTGTCAGGTAATTATTCTTGAACTTCACTTCCTGTGACTTATAATAGCAAATACACTGACACACATGGCAACTTACAGCAAGAAGATGGAGTTGCAGTCCACATCAATTCTTGTTGTCTGGATCTTCGGCCCTGGCAGTCAACATAAACTCCTACGCTGCTAAAACACAGCAGGTATTCTTTATTTGAGATTTCGACTGCACAGATGGCATCAGTTTGCTGCTGTGAGATAAATGATAGTGTGTGGTCATCTGGATGGAGCAGACTGTACGGGCTGCCTTCTCCATGAAGGGAATATTTTAAGAAACCTGACTGGTAGCCAACGCAAAGACGATCACTAAAGATTGACATCCACTGGACGTTCCCTTGGACTTGGATCTCCTTGATCTTTTTATGACGCGTCTTACTCTGATTTAGTTCATAACAGAGGACCTGCCTTTTTATAGCTACACAGAGGCATGTAAGAGCTCCATGGCACACATGTCCAGAAACTATTGACTGACAACCTTTTGTCTCTGCCAGCTTATAAAACTCAGTCTCCCTTCCATCCAGGGCAACCATAGGGAAAAGCCGCACATGACGGTTTCGTCCTGAGATTACTGCAATAAGCTGTTCACTTGGGATAAACTCAATCTGATGAACCTTCTTATTGTCACCAACACGGATAATCTCTAAAAAACAAAAAAACCCAAAACCAAGTAAATAATGTTGAAGTGTGAATTGATTAAAACATATGTATTTGTAAATATAAACTATGAAGTAAACCAAAGAAATCCTCTTTATTGCTTCCCTGAAATATTAACAAGTACAGAATTGAAACCTGTATTTTAATAATACTAGGCATGGCAATGCTGGATAGACCTTTGGCTTTTCCTGATCAGAAAAAGGGAGGAACAGATCTGAGGCAATAACAACCACTGTATTATTTCAAAAAACAGATTATAGCTGCAAAACTACTGAATAAAGGAAAACGCTCAAAGACTTGAAATATAGAATTAAACATGTTGCTTGCTGAATTAGCTTGGGCATCTGTCATTACATCTCTTTAATATACTGAACATAAATTTTGAGTTCCAATACAAGAAGGTGGTTACAGAAAAGACTCAGCCAGGCTCCTTAATGATGTGCACAGCAGGAAAAGAGGATACACTGGTCACAAATTCAAAAGGGGAAGGCTCCAACCAGATACACAAAGAAAATGTCTCATTGTGGGAACAGTTAAATTTTACAACAGGCAGCAATCTAAAGGATTCTAAAGACTTCACTGGACAAAGCCTTGACAACCTGGTCTGAATTCAGGATTGAGCTTGCTTCAAACAAGGGAACAAAACATTCAGCTGTATTCCAGATGCTAGATCTTACTGGAAAGGATATCCAAAATAGAAAAGACAGAACACCAACTTCTCTTTCAGCATTCACATGAGGTTGTCCAGCTAATAATGTAGTAAATTGACAAAAAATGAAACCGCAGGATATTGAAAGAGAAAAAAAGTTTAAAAGTCACTTTTTGATTGTTTAATTTTAGGGAAATTATTACCAGTTCCAAGGATCTTACCATCTTTGGTGACATGCACAACAAATAATCCTTCTTCATTCCCCAAAGCTATTCTTTCATGGTCTATGATATTAAAAAAAAAAAAAAAGGTTATTTTTCTTTGGAAAGTTTTCTTCTACAACAGTGATAATTCTGATTCTGATTACCTGAGACAAAATTTTAGTATCTTAAAAAAATAAATGTAAAGCCAAACCCAACACATTCACGTAACTAAAGGACACTGGTATGGTCCAAAGCTTTCAAAAACATTTCTGAAAAAATAAGTCTTTTCTCCTGTTAGTACAAATAACACCAAGAAACATCACTTTTAACAAACAACACAGAAAAATTAAGTGTACTATTGACTTGTAAATACCTAGAATATCACATCTAAATGATGTAAACAATCCGAGTTTAACATATTTTATGAAGCAGCATTTAAAATTACTAAATTAATCATAGAGTCATAGAATGGTTTGAGTTGGAAGGGGCCTTAAGGATCATTTAGTTCCAAACCACCTGCATGGGCAGGGGATACCTCCCACTAGGCCAGGTTGCGCAGAGCACCATCCAACCTGTCCCTGAACACTTTGAGGGATGGGGCTTCCACAACTTCCCAGGACAACCTGTTCAGTGACTCACCACCCTCACACTAAAGAATTTCCTCTAACCTAAATCTCCCCTCTTCCAGTTTTGATCTTGAAAAAGATAAAAAAAACCAAACACCACCTCTTGTCCTCTCACTACAATCCCTTGTAAAAAGTCACTCCCCAGCTTTTCTGTAGGTCCCTTCAGGTACTGGAAGGCTGCTATAAAGTCCTCCCAGACCCTTCTCATCTCCAGGCTGACCAGCCTCAACTCTCTCAGCCTGTCTTTGCAGGAGAGGTGTTCCAGCCCTCTGATCTTCTTTGTAGCCCTTCTCTGGACTTTCTCCATGAGCTCCATGTCCTTCTTATGTTGGGGGCTCCACAGTTGGACACAGTGCTCTAGGTGAGGTCTCACAAGAGCCGAGCAAAGGGGCAGAAACAGCTCCCTTGACCTGCTGGCTACCCTTCTTTTAATGCAGCCTAGGACATGGTTGGCTTTCTGGCTTGCAAGTGCACACTGCTGGCTCATGTTGAGCTTCCTGTGACCACCACCCCTAACTCCTACTCCTCCTCCAGGCTGGTTTTGATCCCTGCCTGTATTTGTGCTTGGGATTGCCCCAACCCAGGTGCAGGACCTCACACCTGGCCTTGTTGAACATCATGCAGTTGGGTACCACAAGCAGTTTTTTTTAAGCAATTCATTTACATCTATTCTATAGTGCTAACTTTGCTTTAGCATACTTATTTTCTTAAACTTTTCTTATTTATTTCATAAATAAAATTTCATACCTATGATTGCTGCTGACTGCGTTGTTTTGATGAGGGGTAAGGTGCTGTCATAAGCTTCTTTGGGAACATAGACTGAGCGGTCTTTGAGTTTGTTCTTCTTCAAGATCCTGTGCAGTTCATTCAGCACTCCTACCCACTTGCTTTTTTCATTCTCACTGTCTGCTAGAATCAGGATTGAACACTTATTACTGGATGTAGAGAGCTGGGAAGCTGTGACCTGGAAAATTTAAAAATATTTATTTTAAGTCATAAGTGATAAAAAATTTAATCATAATCATTTTTATTATTGATATAATACATTTTTATTACTGATATTGTTTGGGTTTTTTAAAGTCCAATAGTTTGTGTTAATAATGTAATGCAATAGGAATGATCTTTATGGAAGATAGGTCTATGATCCTTTTAATGATCCTTTCATACAGCTACTATAGATAGAAATGAAAGCCTCTTTTGTAGGTTATCTCCTGTCAGCATGTAGAGTGATGAACGGTACGAAAGATGGAAAAACAAGGAGTGAAACACAATGGTATACTAAAGAAATTTTTGGATAATTAATAAGGCACCAAAGGTCAAAGCTTCAGTGGAATAGCTAGTAAAAATAAGAGAAATATTAGAAAAAGCCAGTGATGTAAAAATCCTGATACCAGATCATAAACATAAATTTTGATGAGTATTTTACACTAGATTTCTATACTGACTACCTGATGAATGGGAGTTTTCAGATATCCAATGCATATACACAAAGGAAATACATAAAATAAAGGTTTCAGGAATAAGACAACAAATTAAACTGAGAAGCAGAAGGCAACTTTAGGAGTTAAAAACGTAGGTCATTAATTTTTACCACAAAGATGATATATATACAGATCCTTATGCATTGCTGTTGCTGCCATGGATACCACATGGCCAGACCTTGCATAGGAAATAAAATACTAGCAAGCTGTCAGTGAATGCACAACCCTGCACTTCTGGGTTACTAGGTTCAATACATACTTACCCTAAAGATACATGGGATATCTTTTCGATTTGCATGGATGACATCTGAGGCCAAGACAGAACTCACTGAGAATTCTTCATCCCTTATGGAGACCACAAACATAATTGGTAAAGAGTTAAAGAGTAAAATCTGTTTATTCTCTTTTTTTACTTATATTTCCATAGTACCAATAGCCTTTTTTTGTGAAGGACATAAGAAGACAGGACTGAGATCTAACTTTTAAAACTACCCTTTGCTCTTTTATCTGCAGATGAAAATCACAAATGCAATGTTGCATAATTCCTGGTAGATGCTGATGGGGATAAATCTATTCAGAGCATCTGTTTCTTGTCTACTTGACTTAAAAATATTTTTTTAAGACATAAAAAAAAATCAAATTTTAAAAATAAGTCTGAACCAAGAACATCTCTCCAACTCTTTCATAAAAATCCAAACTAACTAGAAGCTATAATCTACAGCTGTTTGAGAGTTCCAGTATAAACTAACCTAGCTTAGAGATGAGCTTTACTTAGATAGCATGTTAAATGCTCTCCACCTTCATTGAAGTTGGTAGTATTTCAGAAATACGGAAGACAGTGAGAACATGTAGCTCTCTTGAATTAAAAATGGTATTAGTTTTATCTTATAACAAAGTTTCACCTGTCTTTCAAAATTCTACTCAACTTAAAATATTGTATTTTTCTCCTTTATTAATTTCCTATCTTCTACACAGCTGAACAGATGCATTTTGGCACATGATGTGGTAATGGAACTTCAAATTGCTGCAGATGAACACACAGTGTAGTTCAGGATAACTGCAAATACTGCTTTTTTTCTGGAAAATTAGAGGCTCTCAACATGGATTATAGCATTTCATAAGCACTCTTGAGCTTGCCTACCGATTTTACGAAGAAGAGAAGCAGAAAAAAACCTCCCAGTGTCTGTGAAAAGCTCCCACTCAGCACCAAAGAGCTTACCTCATGTCTATAACCTGACTCACTATCACGCTGGGCTGGGATGCTTTTCCTTCTGCTACATCATACAGGAAGAGTTTAAAATCACAGATAATTGCCAGTGCTCTCTGCCAACCTTTCTTTACTCCAGCTGGTTTTGGTACCTTTAGCAAAATAAATTCTGATCAACTCTCTGTAAGTTTGCATGCAATTAAAAATCAAACAGACCATTCAAAAATAAATTTCACCTAGGTTGACAAGTTTTTATTCAGTGGTAACTTTAAGCAACATAAGCAATAGCACCAGTGCAGTAAAAGCATCAAACATAGTCACACAGACATCACACTGTATTATTTTAAAAATTCATAGCACCACAGATTCTTTCTCATTCAAAGCTATATTAACAAATACAGAGAAAGAAACTCATCTCTAGTTGGTCAACAGGAATATGGCCAAAAACTATGTTAAGTAATTTTTTTTACTATTTATGTACAATTATCCAAAAGAATGACCCCAGACAACACCAGCCTCAACAGAAAGACTCAAAAACTCATACGCCCTGGAAGATTACCTGATCCCTAGAGATGGACCAACTCAAAGAAGAATGGCCGACAAAGATGGAGACAGAATTATTTTTGAAAATATGAAGAGTCGCTCTGTGAAAATTTAGGTCTTAGTATCCAAATTGTTATCTTAAGGTATAACTGAATCCATCCCCCCTGGTGCCCCAACTAGAGTTTCATTCCAGCTCAGGAAAATAAAAAATTCAGTATAAGTGTCCCAGATGCAGCCACCTAATACTTACTCTGACATGTCCTTCATAAGCTGTTCCTATGCCTTTCTGTGGATCTATTCCCAAAGGTCCTTTTGTCTGTTCGGGAGGGATTGGACATACTGCAGGAGCCTTGTCTGCACAGGTCACGTGGCAAGAGAATGCACATACTTGTGAGGAAGAGAAGAAATTAAAAGATTTTATAGCTATTTCTTGTGCAATGCAAAAGCTAGGATAAGGGCAATGACACTCACAAAGCAATAACCTTTTTTTGCCCAAACCTGAATTGTTTCACAGAATTTTGCTACACAGGGACAGAAATGTGAAGTCTGCACACAGCAGAAGTTCAGGCTTTTATCTGCTCTAAATTCTGAGATTCTCATTTCAGAGGTGTATGGATACACAGTCCAGTTTCATCCAGGTAAGAAAGAAGCTCATACTGGGATAATCTCTATGATTCCCACTAGGCTCAACTCTACTAGTAAACAAAAAGCTGGAAGCTCCCCTACATGGCAAGTGTCATTCTGTGTACATACAAACCTAGAATAAATCAGTCCTGTAAATAAATAAAATTGGTACTCAATGCCAAAGCTGTCTTAGGTTTTGCACTGAGTCAGAAAGCAAAGCTGCTGTCAGAGCACCTGACCACTAACTTTGGACCTTTGCTGCTGTTTTAAGTAAACTGAACTACGGTCTTCTACCACCAAGTGGAAAAAGTATGTCTCCAGATAACTGGGCATCTGTATTGTAAGACTTCTGCTTTTAAAAGACTGAAGCACAAGAATACATTATCTTATTCCAAATACAAACAGAAGACTCCTGCATTATCACACCACAATGTTTACCGTGCAATTTGCATCTATAAGAACTTCAGTTCACACTTCCTGCTTTCACAAGTTCTTACCTTCACAAGTACAGCCCTGTCGTATTAATCCAACCATCAAAGATGTGCATTGATTGCATTTTGTTGGTATATTAAATGATTTCACTACAAATTGGTGGGCTTTAGGCTGTGAAATAAGCAGATGAGGATGTTAATACCTGTAACGCTTCTGAAGAACAGTTATTTTTTCACAGACATAAGAATACATAGGTGTTTAAAAAAAGGTATCTTATTTGTGCTTAGTGATATGAGATCCTAACATAAACCATCCTATGTAAATGAAACAATGGAAACCGGACCTTGTCTCTCAATACGAGTTTGTTTCCATTACATATACAAAAGTTGCCAAAATTATTCCATTACACTCTATAAGGTTGATGTGTGTACATATGTGCTTAGTGGGCACCTGGCAGCCAGCCAAGGTCAACCCGCTACACCATTTTCTAAGCTGCAAATTCAGTGTTCCTCTGCAAGGAGTGTTGCCTTAGTTTAAAGCAAAATATCAAACTTTTAAAATATTCTAATTTTTATGCTAGAAAGCATGACAGTTTAGTTTTATGGTGTCAGCCACAGGCAATTTCAGAACACCCAATTTAAAAGCAAGAGTCTTCCTTTACACAAATGAAGTCTTTTGCTATTTTGCCATTTATCAAAGGAGAGAACTAGATCCATTAGAAAGACTTTGTTGATTAAATGCAGAAACAATGTCATCTCTTAAACATGCACAAGGTTGCTAAGCCACTGAGGCACTTCGGAAACTTTTATGAGAAAATTTTCTCCTTTAATAGCTTTTATTTTATTCCTAATTTACTTGAATATACACTGTTCACTGTGATTTACCATACACTGACTGGCTTATTCGGCCAACGGTATATTAATGTCAACAACTGATCTAAAGTCAGTGTTTATGCAAGTAAAAAGCCAGAAGATGGAAAACCTCAAATTCCTTCTCTCAGCCCAGTGCTGCAGTGCTTACTCTACACTGCTTATAAAAAATGCAAATCTTAAGTTCCATTTTAGGCTTCCTCTTTCCCTTTTCTTAAAACTAATAATCTAATTGGTACACAGATATGCTAATCTGGGACTGGCCCATAGTGGCATCAGTTTTACTGTATTAAGAGAATGTTGGTCAGACAGCTGCTGGAAAACACTCTCTAGGAATCTCTATTCCTTTGTTCTGGTTTATTTATCTCTTTCTAATGTTCAAACTACTGCTTTTCCTATAACCCAATGCCTGTGTGCTGCTACCATGGAATGACTAATACAACTTGTCACACCACATAATGTAAGAATGAGAGGTTTTGTATTTTAGAAAGCAACCAGTTTGCATATAAACAACTCTTTAACAATTCTGCTATGATTACTACGATATATAGTTCTCCTGAAGCCATCGCCCAGGACTGATATTTTTGTCCTTAGTATATGAAAAAGTGTGAATATTTGACTGAATACCTTTGGTGCAGACAGTCCCGATCCAATATATGCTGTCCTCATGGTTGGTGTGTGAATTAAACGGGGAGGATGATCTGTGACCTGAACATAGTCCCCAAAGAAGCAATAAGATATCAAATGCACACTACCAAAGACAGCTTCAATAAAGTCGTCCCACCTACCTCATTCCCAAACACAAGCAATAACACCAAACTGACTGGAAAAGGACTCAGAAAACCAAATCTTACTTCTCAGCAAAACATGCAAGATTCATCTCTTAAATGTCAAATGTAACTTTGTATTATCTTAAACATTTGGTTAAATCTTTCCTCATGTAAAATAATCAGTTATTTTATTTTAACAGGGAAACTGGGTACATTATTATAGTTGCAAAGCCTGCATAATATTTCATATTGACAAGACTTTCAGTAGGACTCTAAAATGTGCTCTTATGAACTCCAATATAACATTAACTTTGTGCTAACACTTCTTTAATAATGACCACGAATATGTTATTAAGTGAGACTATATCCAATAATGGATTCACCATAGTTCCCATTCCTAATCAATTAAACATAGTGAAAGTAAATGCAACATTCCTCAAATTACAGTTCAACCCTAGTGCAGAAGGTTATTCCAAGGTTCTAAACAGTCCTTCTGCAGAGGAATGAACTTCATTCTAAACAAAAAGATTTGCAATAGGAACTTTTACATGAGTGAAACTGTCACACCTAAAAAAAAAATAGACAACAATTTGTCAACACTGAAGTACCTCAATTGGTTCAATCTCACTAGCGGTAGAAGGAGATCTCGAACTTGAATGGAGGTGAGACTTGACATCTCCATCCCGCGATGGAGCATTAGACAGTGTAAAGTTCTCAACTGAGTCAATCTAGGAAAATAATTCAAGAGGAGAAAAAAAAAAAGAAAGACATAATTAAAAAGAATTCTTAACTCTTAGCAAAATAAGATATGGAAGCACTAGAATTCCTAAGAGAGAACTGAGAGGATAAAAATTCAATTATAAGCAACTTCCTAATTAAGGTACAAAAACACAATAAAAATAATTGGATATGAACACACCAAAGCTTCTGCTGAGAGGCAAGCACATGCATAAGAGCTGCTAGTTCAGGGGCTTCTAATTCAACATTTTTCAAGGGTGAATAACTTCTAAACAATACTGGGTTTTCTCCAATGCTAGTAGAGATTTGTTAGAAGTGAATTCGTATATATAGTCCATGTAATTCACTGCAAGCATATTTAGAAGAAAATAAAAGAGAAAAAGCAGAGCAAATGTGTTTCCTTATGTCAGTGTTAATTATATTCACAGAGAATTCAAGGGGTTTTTGCACCCTAGATGAACTACAAAAACATCCATACCAGGCATAGTTTCCTCAGTGAACTCTTTTCCTAGTCCTTAATACACAGTGAAACTCAGAAACATAATGCACAACAAGGCGTATAGGTATGACCAGTTGGGATATCTTGGATAACAAGTCATTTTTGTCAGAGCAACTGAAAAACAATGGGATGCTTCCTTGAAAACATCTCCACATCAAAGTTTTCTATGCAATTTTTTTTTCATTATTTATTTATTTATTCATATTACAGTGAGATGAGGATGTCTTCCTCTGCTAATAATAGAACAAAAAGCTGGAGGCCAGCAGAAGGTGCATTGCATGCCTGGCTTTTCTGGAGCAATGGTATCATCAGTTCCCCATATGCAGCAACAGCTAATGAAAGCATTTGAATATTTCAATTTGTGGAATGATGCCACTGACATCATACAAAGAATTCAACAAACTTTACTGTCCTTGGGAATAAAATATATTGCCAAGCCAATCTTACACATGCATATAAAATCCTGTTCTCCCAAAACACAGTCATGGTAGCAAACAGGTGCAGTTTTTTATTTTTCTTTTCTCTTTTTTTCAATAGTAGTGAGTTAAGTTTGATGGTTTCTAGCTTTATTGTAGCCTTCAAAAAAAATAAACTGGTAGAGAATGCTCATCAGCTTAATTAATTTAGGCACATTAAAATGCCTGCAAATATTTCTGTAATGAAAATGGAAAATTCTCACACTGTTATACACCTGTTTTCTACACATAGATCATGTGTTTCAAGCATCGACATAAAAATTAGCAGTAAAGCAAACACTTTGTGCTCAGATTTATCAGAAGCAAATAACAATTGGAAGCTTTATCCAGTAGCAGAAATACTGATGTTTTTAAGTAGTAAAGCCACAAACACACAACACTGTTTCAATTATTCTACCCTCTTTTTAATTTGAGTCTAAACGTGATATAACTTGAAGTCAACACAAATACTGTTTAACCTTGAACTTCTTCTTAAAAGTATTATTTAAAAAAAGCACACCTACATGCAAATTTTTCATAGCAAGAAACAGACATTCCATTTCTTCTGTAAGTTAAACTCGGAGATCTAATCTGTCATTTCATAAAGGTTTCCAGATACTCCAAAGGCTTTCCCTTTCAAAGTGGCATCTACATACCAAAGAATTTTCATGATGACTCTTAAAAAATTTAGTATAAGCATAATGTAAATGATGGAACTTTTCTGGAATGTGCTACAAAGCCTTTGTGCTTGAAGTCAACTACTCAACCAGTAACAAACTTATTTTTACTTATGAACATAAAAAGCCTGCAAAACACAGAGAACCTGATACAGCATTAAAGAATTTGAAGGGAATTTAACCACCACCTTTACTGCAGAAAGATAGCCCTGTTTTGCTGCAATATTCTCCAGGTTTCTTGCTTTAACAAGAACCAAGTTTAAAACCAACCCGACTCAACTATGGCCAAAACCTTACGTGAAGCAAATTAAAATTAGTTTTAAACTAATGCACTGGATTATCAAAAGCGTATTTCATTATTTCCTATGCAACTGGAATAGCCTTGTCATCTTCCACAGGACTATGCTCTCCATGGACACTCTCTCCATGGTGTCACTTGTGTAGGTTTGAGCCAAACTGGCTGTTATAGAAACACAACACGAGGAGAGACGAAATTGAATTGAAGCCACAGCCGACAAAAACAAGGATAAGACATTGCATGGTATGCTTTGAATTGCATTAGGTATGGTCATTATTAGAGCTGTTGGGCATTACTGGGGGGCTCATGGGGGCTCATTGATAGGGCTCTAAACTAGGTTGGAAGGAGGTGGGGGATAAAGCCAGGCTTACTACAGATGAGCCTAGGGGTGGTGTGCCCATGTCAGGGATGAAATGAATAACCCAGCTCAGGTGCATTTATACCAATGCATATAGCATGGGAAACAAAGAGGAAGAGCTGGAAGCCCTGTGTGCAAACACAGGGCTCACTAACAGGTTAGTAACCACAGAAGTGGTCACGTCAGCTAGTCAGGCAACCTCACTGGAGGCCCAGCTTAAATGCCTTTATACAAATGCACGCAGCATGGGGAATAAATAGGAGGAATTAGAGATGAGGGTGGCATCACTGACACCTAGTGGGATGGCTCCTGTGACTGGAGTGTCAGAATGAAGCGTTACAAACTCTTTAGGAAGTAAGGACAGGGGAGATGGGGTGGGGGTGTTGCCCTCCATGTCCAAGACCAGCTGGAGTGCACGGCGCAATGGATAAGAAGGCAACAGAATGTTTATGGGTTAAGATTGAGGGGAAGAAAGGCCAAGATGACATCACAGTGGGGGTTTGCTACAGGCTGCCTGAGCAGGAGGATAATATAGATGAGGCACTGCATAGACAGATAGGAGCAGCTTCACATTCACAAGCCACAGTGCTCATGGGAGACTTCAACCATCCTGAAATCTGTTGGAAGAACAACTCTCCAAAACACGAACAGTCCAGGAGGTTCCTAGAGTGCGCGGATGATAACCTCCTTTTCCAAGTAATCGAGGAACCAACAAGAAGTGGTGTGATGCTGGATCTTGTCCTCACCAACGAGGAAGGGCTGGTGAGGGATGTTAAGCTCAAGGGCAGCCTAGGTTGTAGTGACCATGAAATGATGGAGCTCAAGATCGTTCAGACAGCAAGGAGGGCTCACAGCAAGCTTACTACCCTTGACTTCAGGAGGGCAGATTTCAGCCTCTTCAGAGATCTGCTCAAGAAAGTGTCTTGGGAGAACATCCTGGAGGGTAGAGGGGCCCATGAAAGTTGACTGATATTTAAGGATCACATTCTCCAGGCCCAAGAGCATTGCATCTCAACTAAGAGGAAATCCAGTAGAAACTCCCGGAGGCCAGAGAGGATGGAGTAAGCAGCTCCTAGAAAAGCTCAAACTGAAGAAGGAAGCATACAAGGGGAGGAAGCTAGGGCAGGTATCCTGGAAGGATATCAGAGAGGTTGTCCAAGCAACTAGGGATAAGCCAGCTTAGGAAAGCCAAACCCCTGCTACAATTAAATCTTACCAGGAATGTTAAGAACAACCAGGAGAAGCTTCTATAGGTATGTTGGAGAGAAAAGGACAACCAAGGAGAATGTAGGCCCTCTCCTGAAGGAAATGGGCAAGATAGTAACACAGGATAATGAGAAGGCTGAGGTCCTCAATGTCATCTTTGCATCAGTCTTCTCTAGCAAGTGCTCCAGCTTCAACACAAAGGCCACAGCAGGTGTAAGCAGGGACTGGGCGAATGAATTACCCTCCACTGTAGGAGTAGAGCAGGTTTGTGACCATCTAAATAACCTGAAGGTGCATAAATCTATGGGACCTGATGGGATTCATCCATCATATTTGAGAGGTCATGGCAGTCTGATGAGGTTCCCACTGATTGGAAAAAAGGGAACATAGACCCTATTTTTAAAGAGGCCAGTGAGTCTCACTTCTGTGCCTGGCAAGGTCATGGAGCAGATCCTCCTGGAAAGTCTGCTAAGGCACATGGAAAATAAAGAGGTGATTGGTGACAGCCAATATTGCTTCACTAAGGGCAAGTCATGCCTGACCAGTCTAGTGGCCTTCTACAACAAGGCTACAGAGATGGTGGATGGTGGCAGAGCAACTGACGTCATCTACCTGGGTTTGTGCAAGGCGTTTGACACTGTTGTACTTGACATCCTGGTCTCCAAGCTGACAAGACAGGGATTTGACAGATGGACCACTTGGTGGCTAAGAAATTGGCTGGATGGCTGCACCCAGAGAGTTATGGTCAATGGCTCAATGTCCAAATGGAAGCAGGTGACAAGTGATGTCCCTCAGGGGTCAGTATTGGGACCAGTGCTGTTCAACATCTTTGATAGAGACATGGACAGTGGAACTGAGTGTTTCCTTAGCAACTTTGCTGACAATACCAAGCTGTGTGGTGTGGTTGACACCCAAGAGGGAAGGGACCTGGACAGGCTGGAGAGGTGGGCCAGTGCCAACCTCATGAAGTTCAAAAAGGCCAAGTAGAAGGTCCTGCACCTGGGTCGGCACAGCCCCAAGGCACAAATACAGGCTGGGGGAAGAATGGCTTGGGCGCAGTCCTGAGGAGAAGTACTTGGGGGTGGTAGTGGATGAGAAGCTTGACATGAGCCACCAGTGTGTGCTGGAGCCCAGAGAGCAACTGCATCCTGGGCTGCATCAAAAGAAGTGTGGCCAGCAGGGCCAGGGAGGTAACTCTGCCCCTCTACTCTGCTCTGGTCAGACTACACCAGGAGTACTGTGTACAGTTCTGGTGTCCTCAGCACAAGAAAGATATAGACCTGTTGGAGATGGTCCAGAGAAAGGCCACCAAGATGATCAAAGGCCTGGAGCAGCTCTGCTATGAAGACGGGCTGAGAGAGTTGGGGCTGCTCAGCCTAGAGAAGAGAAGGCTCCAAGGACACCTTATAGCAGCCTTCTAGTACTTTGGGGGCCCTACAGGAAAGCTGGGGAGGGGCTTTTCATCAGAGAAGATAGTGATAGGACAAGGGGTAATGGTTTTAAACTGAGAGAGGGGAGATTTAGGTTAGATATTAGGAA